AAAAACAAACAAGAAGTTAGGAGTAAGTTGGAAATATATGTTCTTTGCAAAATGTTGTTTAGATAATCGAATTTGGAGAAAAAACTCTGGTTTTGATGCGGGTTTTTTTTTAAATCACGGAAAGTTTAGAGTATTTTTCTGCCACATGATATTTGGTATGAATCATCTGCCAGGGTCCCAAACTAACTGCATGTATTTAAATTATCAAATTATTTATGGACAAAGATATTCCGCAGTTTTACGTGCAATCAATATTTAAAGCCGGATAATTTGAAGAACCCATATGGGAACAAGGCCTGTTATATAACGTAACGTAGTTTATACAAGGTAACCTTGTTACATGGGCATAATTTTACCAAACTGGTAAAATTATGCCTATCTTGGACTTTCATTTAAAGTTGCTTGCGTGTTTGTGTTAAAAATAAAATGATATTTTAATAATACCCATTTTGTCAATCAAATGCTATGGATTTTGGAAGCTGCGTTCTGTTTTATATACTACATGAAGTAGGTATGAGACCACATGTGACTTCGATGTTTCGATCTTTTATGTGAGAAAGTTTTCTAACTACGTAAAGAACGTCGGTCGTTCTACTCAGGTGTCCGTTCGTACCTTTATTTATACCCAGAGGGGCACTTGTAAAACTGGAAAGTCGCCACATATGATCATGTCAGTTTTGGTGAGCCGTGAAACCAAACCAAAATGACCTATATTACCTGAATTAAAAGTTATTTTTTAAAGTTTCATGTCTTTAAACATTAAAAATTTAAGCCATGGCAACTACATTTAAGCGAAATGGTAGCGAAATTTCAGACTGATATGCTTTTTTGCAAAATCAGAAAGAAGTCCGAACTCCTCGAAGCGGTTACTTACCTTTATAAGTACTCTTAACGCCGAAAAAAAATCGTAGCGAAGAGTAACGGAGCAAAAACGATGATCTGATTTTAATGAGATTGGTTTTTCCCCTGAAGATATTAAAAAGTCATTTGCATCCGCAACAAATGCGTTAAAGCACATTTCAACGGTCACGGTCAATGCGTCATTAAACCGAGCCCTGCTCTCCTGCCACGATGACCCCGTTCTCGTGTAAGATTGTATACAAGTTAGTCACCTATATGTTTTGGGTTTGCCTCAAGTAGACTAGGTTGGGGAGACAAAAAGGTTATTTTAGGGGATTTGGAAGGAAAATGCATGCATTTCGCAGTACACGTTTAAACGAGCAGTGTTTCTTTGAGTCGAGCCGCATGTACACTGCTGCAACCGGTATCGTTGGACATTTGAGAGAAATTTGTGTTAGCATGTTTATTGTAAAAATCACCCGTGTTCCGAAATATAGCTAGAAGAAAAGAAGGGTCTTTTTCGCATTTTAAATACATGTACATTTAAACAAATATGATATGCCTTCACCCTCAAGTCCAAGTATTTCAAAATAAATGTTCCAGATTATTCATACACACAACAAATCATATAGGTGTGCATGTATAAATATCTTATAATGTGAGTCAATATTGACCTTATTATGCTGGAATTTCAATATATACAGATGAGATACATTGAAAATGGTATAATATTCCATGCATTTAAATTCAGGTTGAAAACAACAGTCAAGGTGGGCATAGTATATATATACATTTATTTTGCGACATTGGCATTGGCTAATAATGCACTATCACATTTATAGGGCATAAATGTGTGTTTCGTTGGATATTTATGTAATAAATGGAATATCATAGCATGTATCTCATCTGTATATATCGAAAATTTCAGCACGATCGAACCAAAATTGAAACACTTGTATCATTTGTGAGACATCCAAACTTAAAAGATTTGTTAAGTGTAGAATGACCTACAAAGAATCGCCTGTATATGCAGGGGCGTAGCTAGCTTTACGCACCTACGCACGTGCGTAACATTGATCCAGGAAAACGAAAACTCAAATATACTAAAAACGGTGAGAAAACTAAAGGGTACAGGCGTGGGTGATGTTGGAGTGTTTTGAGGCATGGTTCCAACATTTGTATATTTATTTATTTCTAGCTCTAATTATATCATTGATTCTAATATAAATATAGATCTTCGAAGTATTTAAGTAGATCTAATAAGTTCCAATAATAATATAACGTAAAGAGTATTAATCCATAAAGAGCTATATGAATTTTAACGGCGGTAATGCTCGCTCAAAATACACTTCGCCCGACATACAGAACGAGTTACTGTCTGTGGCGAGATTATAACAGCAAAACAATTGTGGAGACCTGCCACGCCGCTCCATTCTTTGGCTGTTAGGCCGACGAGGCCAATGATGCGGCGCCCATCGAGCAAATAACAGATACACTTTATAGAGTTTCATTATTGAATGTGTTCGTTTAAACGTTTGCATTGGGGGTGCCAGAAAGATAAATCACACGACGTCGCTTGTTATAACTACGGGCAATTATGCCTCAGAAATGAATATATTATTACTTCTTTAAAAAGGAGAAACATGATCGAGATCAAGTTTTAAAGCTGTACGCCTCCAAATGAGCAAAAATATTTCGATAAAATCAAACCTGAGAAAAGTGTACTAAGATTTTAGGAAAGGTATACAGTAAAGATTCAAAACTCTAGTATAACTTTACATATTATGTGCTATTAATGACCGAATTTTTCAGTATATATAACTAAATTTTATTGCGTTACGAACGCAGTAAGGGCTATTTTTGCATATTTTGACCTCTTCATAGTACATGTAATTTAAATAGGTTGTAAGTGGCATTGATAATGTCTAAATTGCATTATTTTGGTAACTTTACAATATTAAACCGTTAAATACATTTTCAAATTTTCATGAAAATTGGCATGAATCTGGAGGTGTGCTGCTTTAAAACATTTAAATAAGGGTTTCAGAGCTTGTTAAATGCTTCTAACATGAAGAAAGTAGCGCTTAATGTGAAATTATTTGTCATAAAAGTAGCAAAATGTAAACAAAGTAGTATTTTTACTTCCATACAAAATCCCTTTAACTGTATTAATCGCCAAAAATGCACAAGAAGAAAAATATGTACCTATATAACAGTAAAACGTTTTTCTTGTGTTTGTTGTTGTTGTTTTCTTTTTCAGTGACCTTCCTAAAGTATAACCTCAAAGGCCCAGTGTGCCTCAGAATTCTTTTATTTTTATGTCTCATAGGCATTATTTTACTTTTATATTTTCTTTCGTCAGTTACTTATTGGCAAATTATATAATCCCACACGTCTATATCTGAAAGATGTATTCGTGTGTGATCATTATCAAATTTGATTGAACTCTTTGAAAAAGAAAATTGTGCTGGCGATATTTTTTACTTTACTGCTATTTAACTCTATTTATTTATACAAATTTGATTGCGATTTGTTGTGTAATAAAAAAGAAACTTACATTAGTTGGTATTACTTACAAAAATTACTCTCGTCAAAGGTTTGTAACTTTTTCTTTAATCGTTTTACATCATATTTTTCATCAATGACAACTCATGTGAGATCCTCTACATGTATATATCATAGTATATGTAATAATAAAATATGTTCTATGCGTTATATTGTAATGGCATTATGTATGTCACCTCTCTTATAAATGAGGAAAAAAACGAAAGAAAAAAAACAACAAACAAATAACAAAAATTTACTGTATATATATAAATGAGTATGCTAGATATCACACTGAGAAATGAAAAATTGCAATATTTTCACAAATACGAAGGACAATTTTCAGTGTGATATATAGCATATTAGCCCAAAAAGAAATCAGTTTTCTTGCTGTGTGCCGTATAAGTAAATGACAGCAATGTACGACCGTTTTCATCAAAGCACGAGAAACAGAGATGATACCAGAAGTTCGACTGCTACGCGAACATTGAGCAGACAAAAGTAATTTAAGATAATAATCATCGATACGTAGTAACTGATAATATTTTTAGATTTTAGTTAGTAACGATATTTTAATTGATAAAAAAAAATCTAAAAACGAAGAAAACACATTATTTTCTGTAAATCTATAACACGGTCCGAAATATCACTGTTGCAGGCTCCATCCACTATAGAATTTGTGCCGTAAGATATACCGACAGAGCTTCTTCCCAATGTAAACAAGTGTCTGCATTTCTTCAAGCAATGCCAGTGCTGAACGTTCCTTTATCAGCTTGAAAAGGCTAAAGACTTTCTAGAGCTAAACGATGAGCACTGGTCACCTCTCTGGCTTAAGACTTTTGCAGATCCATACAGACAGGGTGATCTAGGCTGACGTTGTTGTAGATAAATTTGTGTTTGTCACTTTTATTTGCTGACTGGTAAAAGCGTACACGTCATTTGTTTGCGTCTGTTTATTCAATGTATATCCTTATATAAAGTTTATCAAATACCTTGAAATATTAAAATACGATCTATCAATTATATCTAAGACGTTCTCTAAATCACTTCACATATTAGCACAAGTCATATCATTACATAAAAAGATATTAATGATAATATTAAATTCCTTCTGACTTCAATTTGTAATTTTATGGACCTCAAATGGACATGAAAATTCATAATTTTAACATCTCTAAATGGTGAAAATCAATGAGCGTCCGGGGGCTTCGCCCCCTGGACCCCTACCAGGGCTCTGCCCTGGACCTGCAAGGGGGCCTAAAGCGGCCCCCTTAACCCCCTGCCTAAGAGTGCGTAATATCGATTTCGGCCTAGCGACGCCCCTGATATGCATATTATATATCTAATGTTTAATTAAGATAATTTATAGAAACCTATGTAAACGAGGCCATTTATATGCCGATCAGTTTCCATCTACATGAATACAACACATTAAGTATTTAATTATATATAAATAAGTATACTTATGTATTCATTTGGCCGATATCAAATAAATTGTTTAAATGTCGGTCAGTACAATAAAGCTATAAATAGCTTAATTCCTGGAAATAAGGAATAAAAATGCAAAATATGATAAATATGATTCTGTTTTGAAATATCAATATTTATTTACAAAGTAAAAGAATGCACCAATCTGTTTATAAATGAATACCGCGGAAGATGTACGTCATATGTCAGCAGATATCAAGATGAACGCTCTCCGTGTTTTGTGTATCCAGCTCGGATTTCTGATTTTCTCTATCAAAGGTACCGACGGAGTTCCAGGATGTTCTGATACAAGTAATGGATTTGATTTTTGAATTTTGTTCTTGATTTTTATTTTTATTTTTTAACCTAAAGCTATACTGAGCAAATATTAGGTTTAATTAAATAGATGAATGCTTTAATAACAAAATAGTGCAGCTATTAACTTTTGTTTCCACGTTTTGGAGAACAAAATTAATATGTTTCTTCTTTATTGTTTAATGGAAAATTTGTTTGTTTTGACTCAATATGAATAAATTATATCTTAATATTTTTATGTTAGCACGCAGACAATGAAGTAATCGTGTGAATTGCGCATTCGAGAATAGATACCGTGGGGTCAAGGAATCTCCTTTAAATAATACAACTTGATCAATTGACAGCCGGTGCTCTATGGTCAAAAAGCGAAAATCCGTCTTTTTCTTCTTTGTATATAATTATTTTGTTAATCGCTTTACTTACAAAAAAGAGCTTTCTGTGGTAGCATAAAGCAAGGTTTAACGCCATTATCTTTGTGATAGTTCATCTAATTTAAGCAGGGGTCTGATAGATCTATATAGCGTTGGCTTAATACTACAAACCCGTATGTCATTTTTTGTCATTTTTAGAAAATCGCATTTGAAAGTTTGAACTGTAATAACTTTTTAATGATAAACCATATAAAGATAAAATTTTCAGTGAATTTAGAAATCTGTATGTTGTACATATGTACCAAATTTTATTTCTGTGCATACAATTTTTAAGCTAAAATATCAAATAATTAATTTCAATTTTTCATAATAAATAAGAAAATACATACAAATTCTGAATTCTAAAACCCCATTCGAGAGATACGTGGTTGTTGACAAAATATTCAGGTCATTTCTACACCATAAAAGCGACATACGGGGTTCTAATTGAAACATTTGAAGCAAATTGACTAAGTGTAATAATTTTCGGCTAGAAACATAGCAAAAATTCAAGTAAAAAATATCATTAACTTCTCCTACTGTGTAAAATATTACACGTCTGTTTGAAAATCAATGCTACTATCAAATGAAATCTACATTAATTTTTCAAAAGTATGCACTTGTTATGTTACATGTTTATCAACCGTGGGTATTCGACGATGCGTTTCTGTCACATACCTATGTTGCTATTATGTTTCAATTTTTGATTTAGAGTGTACATTAAGTAGATGCTTTTCGTGCTTTAGAAAACAGCGTTGAATCTGAAACAATTTGTCCTGATAGCATCTAGATGTAAACAAAGTGGTATTTTGTCTTCCATTCAAGAACATCTAATAACTATAACTTCATGGATGATCAAATGCAAATGTAAAAATGGGTTCAGCTATATAGCTAATGAGTACCCTTTCAAAAAGTGTAAAAACTTGAAAATAAGAAGCTTTAGGGAAATTAACAAAAATAGTACTCATCGAGGCCGTCCGAAATGGTTATCATCCGAATAAATGTAGTACTTACATATGTATCTATTCAATACATTTACTATTAATTCAAAATGATGTACGAGCTATAAAAACTAAATCATCAATATATGTATATTACATTCAGGTAAAAATTACTATAATTATCTTTAAATAAATCACTAAAGGTTTTTCAAATATTTGGTTGTGATAAAGTAGGCAGCCATTACAGATGTGTCATGTATCACGTGGTACAAAATCGGAATGTTTGATTGGACGAGAAGTTACTGGGGTCTAGAATTAAAGTTTGATGTAAATAGCGAGTTACGGGTTTGTGGAATTGGAAATAAACATTTTTATGTTAGTTCTACAACTACATAAGTATGTTCACTGTGAAGAGCTCATTGAGACGAAAAAAATGATATAAAAATCTCAATTTTGCCAAAAATCGAGTTACGGGGTTGTAGAATTAACCCGACGATAGATATAATTAATTGACCACCTAATTTTTTATTTATAATCTATTCCATAGATGCATAGACAACAATTTTATTATCTATGTCTCTGTTAAAATTTTGTGCTTGCTTTTATTATTTACTCATTTTATTTTTTTTTTCTAATTATTTTTCTATATATTATTACTATTTCTATTGTTGTTGTTATTATTATTAATATTATTATCATTATTATTATTATTATTATTATTGGAGGGGTGGGGTGTTCGTGTATAGGTTTATTTAAGGTTATAATTTACCTGGATATTCAAAGTTGTTCATGTTTCAACAAAATTATAATTATAAAATTAACAGAATGTTATACGAACATGTGACGATTATCGCATACTTTAAATGACATATACTCATGCATGTATTAATTACCATAGTTTATAGCAAAGTTTATATACGATCCGTAAAACTAGGTCACCTTATACGTAATTTCATGGTCTTTGTTAATAGAATAGTAGTTAGATTAATATTTTAGTCAACTTAATCACATGATGTGTCTCCTTTGATTGTAATACAACAATCAAGTGTTTATTTTATTAATTGAAAACGCACGCCTTGCGTTCATCATGTGATGTTAAAAGCACCTGACATCAGAACACATTTATAATCGTCCTAAATTATCCAAGTTAGGGAAAAGGCAGAAATGTTTCGATTGATTTGCCAACAGCAATTTTTTTATTCCGTCGGTCATACTCCATTAATAGTCATAGATATTCGTCATGTTAAAGTGTCGTTTCATAAATGTTTCAAATACATGTAAGCTTCTTTGAAAGAAAAATGCATGCCGAATTGGATGATCTTTAATTGAAGCAGCATGCCCCCCGATTCATGCTAATTTTCATGAAAATTTGAAAATGTATTAAAAATTGAAATGCTGTGAAGTGAACAATGAAAGTAATTTACACATTGCAAACGGCCCTTACAGTCCACGAAAATTACTAAAAAGAGGTCAAATATACATAAATACCTCTTACTGCCTTAGTAACGCAATATAATTATAGTGATTGATACTGCAAAAGCACATAACATGTAAATAATTAATCAAATATTGATTTTTTTTACTTTTCTTATGTTCTTAATAAATTTTTCTAAATATTGAATTTCTTGAAATATTTTGGCTTATCTGGAGGCATGCAGCTTTAAAGTGATATGTTTAAAAATATGTGCGATAAAAAAAAACAACAAAAAAAACAACAACATAAATTTCATCTAAGGCATTTAAAAATGATTGGATCCGCATAATTAAAATTACGAAAAAAAGCAATTTGTGCATTTTCAACTTTGATTAACTTTGTTAATAACTTTATCTATAATCAGGTGTGCTCATCCTTATCAGATCAAGTTTTTGTATCTTAGCGCAATAAAAAAAATTGCCGTTGATCCATCTTGTTCGTCGCTGTTTTTGTCTTTTTTTATTGTTAATGAAGACGTTATATTATGAACATTTATTTCAGTTGAGGCCATATGCCACTTGAGACCTAGCGGGTCGGACAGTACTGTCTCGGGAACAGTAGAATTCCACCAAGGAGGGGTATGTTTGCACCTGTTCTACCATTTGTAATTTTATCAGTAAATTTGTTATTGACCCTTTTTCACGTGTTTTGTAGTGAATTCATAATTGCATATCTGGCATGTTATTAAATATATTGCTAATATGATAATTGTACTGCAGTAGTGCTAACAATTATACTGAAATACAAATGATTTTATTGCGTTAAACATAATTATAATCTATGTATTATAATACATGGCATCATAAATTCATTTATAAGTAAAGGACGTGGGCTTTTCATAGATCATAATAATTATATTGCTCCCCGAAGAAAGAGATAAATTAATTTGTTGCTGTAATTTGAAGAGGAACGTCCGTGTCTGATTATAGATTAGGTAAGAAGGAAAAGTTTATTACATATTTAATACTCAATCTGTTGTAGACATGCTATCACGGACAGATCCACCCGTTGGTTAGAGTGCAAGGTGAGATTACCGGATTAACACCAAGTGTTGGAGGATATCGTAAACACGGTTTTCACGTGCACACATATGGTAATCTGAGCGAAAGATGCCAGGCAACTGGGCCACACTATAATCCTTTAGGAACCGTTCATGGACGCCCTGCAGATACCCAAAAGTGATTATAAATTCATTAAGTAGTAATGAATTCATAATAATAAAGTAGATTTTATGTAAAAAATATATATAATCGGGTACTGTGTGTTTTTGTCTTCTCTCTTTAAATGAATCTTTATAAACAAAACAAACAAAGTGAATAATAAATTTCAAAGTATGCAGAGGGTAAAAATGCAAATGGGAAAATAAATGAGCCGTGTCACGACAAAACCAACATAATGGGTTTGCGACCAGCATGGATCGAGACCAGCCCACGCATCCGCGCAGTCTGATCAGGATCCATGCTGTTCGCTTTTAAACCTTTTAACAAGTAGAAAAACTGAAAGCGAACATGGATCCTGATCAGACTGCGCGGATGCTGGTCGCAAACGCATTACGTTGGTTTTGTCATGACGCGGCTCAAATAAAGATATATTTTTTTGCAGCCGACGTCACGTGGGAGATCTTGGAAACGTGCTTGCCGACCAAGATGGGAATGTAAACATTGATTTCATTGCCCCTCGTCCAGTTTCACTTATTGGTGATCTGTCTATCATAGGCCGGGCGATTGTGGTAGGTGCAAGAAGTTCATGGTCTTACATAGTGATATAAAAGTATGCATCCGTGCACTAAAATAGATCTTTGTTTAAAATGTTAAATGTTTTAATAAAATATATGTAAAATGCATGTCTGTTATAATTTTACTAGATAGATGGAGCGGCGATATTTTGTGTTTATTAAATAAATGCCCGTTGTTATTTTCAGCTTCATGCAGGCGAAGATGATCTTGGACGGGGAGGTAATGCCGGAAGTGTGGCGTCTGGGAACGCTGGGGCGCGCATAGCTTGCTGCATTATCGAAAGGGTGCATAAATAAAAGAGAATTATGCATCCATGTTATATTACACCTTTACATTATAACTCTACTACTTCTAAATAATTATTTTATTCCCTTTTTTGCAATCAAACAATTGCACCAATGCCAATTGAATAATACTTAATTGAATCTGAATTTTAGAATATCCTGTTAAAATGTCCACAATGATTAATAAAAATAATAATAATGTAGTGTTGTTTTATTTTGATTTTTTAAGTCAGTTTCTAAGAGAGAGAGAGAGAATGACCAGTGAAATACCGTTACCAGTGACCAGTATTAGAATAATTGTTGTTTTACACCCCAACAGAGATGTTATCAATGTCTCGGACCCTAACCTGCAATATTTGTGTAATAGATTCACTCTGCTTTGAATATATAGCTGTTAACTCCTAGTTTGAGGTATTTCGAGGTACCAATGGTACAGAGCGTGGTCTGACTGTAAAGATCGATCAGCTGGCCTGGTGGCTCTATATACTAATAATTTCCGGTTAAACACGGGATACGTTAGCGCATATATTGCATGACAAAAATATCTATATATTCAACAATGTCTATTGCACACAATGATATACAAGAAAGACCACTCTTTATACAGAGTAATATGTGAAATAAAACTAATTAAGTTACTAGTATCAGAATATCCTTTGAACAAGAATGCATTTTCAAAACTTGCATGTAGACTAGTCAAGATGTGATACAAAAATAACAAAAAATAATTATGGAGGAAGCACACAAAAATGTGGTTGATTCTTTTGTTCCTATAGAAACATGTTCTTATTCTAACCCCCTACCCGGACCCAACCCACAACAATCAACTTTGTTAAGATATCTAAATGTAGACCGGTTCGTGTCGCATACATGTACAAGCCTTGTAACTTTGTAAGTGAAGTAATCAGCATATGCAAACTTTCAATGGAGATCAGCAGTTATGTCCCCTGTTCAGTTTCGATCGTGTGCAACTGCTATAAAAAATTGCCAGCATGTAAACTGACGCGAATAGTTACTTGCATATACGTATTGTAAATGGTCAGTTATATGGACAGAATAAAACTAGAAATGTGTCCATAGGATACGGATGCCCCCACACGCCACTGTTCTGTCAATCTTATGACTCTAGGTCAAATATTTTTTGGACTGCATATGCCACAAGTTGAAAAATAAAAATCAACAAAGGGCCATAATTCTGTTAAATTTGGTCGCAGCAGAAATTCCTTCCTTTACTACCATCTACACATTAAGGTTGTTCATCGCTGGAAGTTTAAGCAAAATCTGCCATCCGGTTTAAGAGGAGTTGCGTTCACAAGATTTCAGGACGTACAGACAGACGGACGGACAAGTGCAACGCTATACGCTCCCACTTTGTGGGGCATAAAATGTTATGCATGGGATTTTCTAAGTTGTACCTATGTGAACTCTAGCACCATAAATTTATGATTATCAGCCTCTTTGGTCTTTTGCCAGTGTTTATAAGGACCCATTCATTTCCTATGGAAATGTATATGTAGCTAATAAATCAAGTTACACCAACATGGCATAGGTCATACATTTACTGTTGGAGAAAGACCTTTCAGCTGCTGTACTGTACTGTACATTATTTCAAAGACTATCCACCTTCTTCACAACTATCATCATTAAACAGTAAATTCAACAATATGTACAGAACAACTAAACATACACAACAAGGACCAGCACGGCTCAAATTAAAACCATGGTACATGTATACAACTTGAAATGGAATTAATGATTTCAAAATAAAACAACACAAAGGTTTTCACATTATCATAATTTATTCATATTTTAATATTTCTCTGATGTAATCATGTATTTACACAAAAAGACAGTGCATTGTCCATGAAACGTAAACCATTAAAAATTTTACTCTTTACTCTCTCATTTAGTGAATTCACCAAAAAATTACTGCAATCCTTGAAAATTGTTTTTTGCATATTCTAATCTTTCATTAGAAAAATAATCTTATCAAAAATCAGTACAGGAACTACATCTGAATCTTGTAAATTTTTCATGTAAAGTACATATACTAGGAATCCCTTTATAAAACAAAATATGTTATTCTATAATTATTTACATCCTATTCTCTTAAAAACAAAAGAAATATATAATTTTAATGTATCATATAATTTCAAAGCACTTTAATAATTAATATACAATGAAAACAAAAACACATAAATAAACGATAAATTGGTATCCCACGAATGTCACATCAGTTTTGGATGTCACATTTGAAACAATGTCACATGGATGATGTCACGCTATGCTAAAATGGTCTTGTGATTAACATGTTGCATACACATGTAGTACTGTACACACACAAAAAAATGTCACAAACAATATGTGACGTCACACTCATATCAAAATGTTGTGTGTGACATTATCTAGGATGTCACACACTGACATGTCACACCAATGATGTCACATCCTACATAATTGTTCCTATGATTATTAAGCACCTAAATAAGATTTTTTATGCTCATATTCTATGCACCGCATTCATACAGATGTCACAATGTGACATGTGACACAAATATATATGAAAATGTCACATTCAATATCACAATAATATACAATTACATTACAATGTACATGTTTTGGTGACAGACCGCATGGAACGTCACTGACATAAATTAGTTGTATTAAATATATATATATATATATTGGTTAAACCCTTGCTGATCATTCAAATGTCCGTCTGTATACCTGATGGTCAGTACACATCTTTTCTGCATGTATATTTTACGTGTATGATTCTTACATGAAAAATATTGCATTTCCTATAAATCAATGTATAGTAAAACCAAACATACACTTGGCAAAAATCTTGATAATCCTTAATGGAAAAGCTTTTCAAGGTTCCTACTCTATATGATCCGTACAATTTATTATTTGTCAATTATCATGTAAATGAAATGTTTACGAATAAAATATTGTTTAAACTAAAAATCTTAATACCATTGATTATATGGTTTAAAGTTAAGTTTTGGATATTGCATCATTAAATTTCAAATTAAATATATTTTTTCTTTTTTGCAAAAAAAAAGTACATGTACTTACAACTTACAATTTTCATAACACCAAAATTAGAGCTTTTGTTTTCTGATTTAATTTTTACTTTTATTCTCTTATTTATAATATTACCCATTGACAAAACATCAAAATTAATACAAAAAATTTCATTTTTTTGAAACTATTTTTGGCTGTTTTCCGGCTTCTTATAGACTGGAACACTTAACCTATACCATACAAAATATGCATTATTTTCAGACCAACCTATACAATATCTTCAATATCATGACCAGAGACCATTATTCCAATAAACTTTTTATGTCCCTAATAAATAAATTGAATCATCATATTTTCAACCTCTGTTACAATATCCTAGATAGTCCTCAATTCATCCTGACACGTCTTCCTTTAATCAAGTTTTCTTTATTTTTCACTTTAAAACTTTCCACATAAGTTATAAATAAATCTATCACAATTTCACGATCAATCTTCCAGCAAATTTTCGTCTAAATCTATATCCTGAAATAGAAAAGAAAATGAGTGAATGTTCTACAGATGCACAATTACCATATATTTCTTTTTTTCCACCCTCTAACCAAGTAATATTGTTTGTTTCATCCATGTCTCCACAGTCAACCTTACCAAACTCACTCTCTAACCCTTGATGAAATCTCTGGAAAAAAAACCTCTCTAATAAACCCTGTCATTGCAAATAATACATTACACTGCTTGATGTGATAAACTGTCTCCTGCTTTTAAAGCAAACTTTTCACTCAAACTACAGAATTGAGCAGAAAATATGTAAACTAATAAGGTCATGCTGGACTTTAAAGTAGTAAAGCATCAAGTATGACTGCCGGTACTTTTTAAAATTTGATGTATTTATGATTGCACATGGAGTGAAAATCTGTTGAAATGTAATATTTCAGAGAACATCTTCAAATACAGACATTACTATATATTGTACTTCTGATATCTGTGTACTTCTGTATATTGAAGCAAAAAACTAATGTACAACGCTTGTCATTATCAACAAGTAAGCCTGTCATTATAATCATTATTATATATGTCTGGTCCATGCATTAGGGCAACATGCCTCCAGATTCATGCTATGCTAATTTTCATGAAAATTTTGAGAATGTTTTTAAAAATCAAAATGTCCTGAAGTAAACAAAAGAAAGTAATTTAAGTCAATTACCAAAAAAAAAAAAAAAAAAAAAGGGGGGGGGGGGAAATATGCAAAAATAGCCCTTACTGTGTTAGTTGCACAATAAAAATATGGTGATGATTAATGCATTAACAGTCATTGATCCCACATCACATGTAAATGATTACTTGAATCTTTTTACTTCTCTTAAAATCTTGCACACTGTGTGTATGTAATCATACAATTACATGTACATATAAGCAAACTTCAATCATATTTCAACATCAAATAATATAAACAAAATCATTGGAAACTAAAAAGCATTTTGTAATTGGGTAATTTACAAATAAATATTAAAACAATACACAGAGATTATAACTTGTGCCAAAAACCAAAATAATAAACATGTATAAGTTGTGATAAATGAGCCGCGTCACGACAAAACCAACATAGTGGGTTTGCGACAAGCATGGATCCAGACCAGCCTCTGCATCCACGCAGTCTGATCAGATCCATGCTGTTGGCTTACCAACTCTATTACAAGTAGAGAAACTGATAGCGAACAGCATGGATCCTGATCAGACGCGGATGTGCAGGCTGGTCTGGATCCATGCTGGTCGCAAACCCATTATGTTAGTTTTGTCGTGATGCGGCTCAAATTATTTAGCCTATTCTCTCAAACAAACCAGACTTTCTGACACAGATCACCATAATATTGAATGAAAATTAAGATTCTTCTTCCATTCTTTTTATCAACCTAAATACCTCAATAGAGAGAGAGAGAAGTGTTTGGATTTGTAATCTAAGGGTTTCTAGTTTGATCCTCTAGAGAGCTCCAAGAACATTCACCGTGACAACTGATGCATCAAGTCTGTAACTGGTCATTTATCTCTCACAGCTCATTGCTGGGTAAGAAATTGGTCATTTGAGGAGAAATAGTAAATACTGGTTAGTTATCCAGTTAGTTAGTTATCCAGTTAATTTGACCAACCACAGAGATATGACCAAAAATGTGCATAAAAAAGCAGAATGTTTTTTCTCTGAAGAAATAATTAAACACAAAAAACAAATTTCAGTCAGAAAATCTGGTTTGATCTTTTTTTATAACTAAATACCATTTTATCAAATATATTCAAGTAGATAAAAGATTTTATAAAAAGGTGGTGAGATATCAACTTACGAATTTTATTGCTTTGCTAAGCTTGTAATATTTTCAAATTTGTTATTTGACCATACAAATTGTTATTTAGGTCAATACTTGTTATTTTGGTAAATTTTTGGTAAAGAAAAATCAAATCTACTTTTTCAGTTTATTCAGGTTGACAATTTTTTCATTATGACAGATTAAGTCAATTCAAAGCTCAGATCTTAAGCTGAAATGAGGCCTGAAAACACAATAAGCTCACTGCTATACCATTTATTTCATATAACATATCCACCTATGACCACCTTTCCATATCCCTGGTAATCTACTATACCCAAAAGACTGCCTGCTCAGGTAAAAGTTGTCATCAAAAATGGATTCTAAAAGCTAGACTAAAAGCTTAATTGAATCATAACATACTCAGACAAGCAAAACAATGATTAATTTCTGTTCATCAAATATTCAGCTTTTAAATATAATACAGCTTTATATATACCTATGCAAGCAATCTTTTTAATTTTCAGTTAGGTTATAAACTACTAAATTGTTTAGTAAAAACTACAACTATTGGATATCATGTCTACGTAAAAACCATGCACTTCACTTTTAGTTATACCTGATTAGTCTCCCCTGATTCCTAAAAACATTTTTAACACGTTTAGTGGCATTGAAAAACAACAAAATGTTATTATGTCAGTCAGTAAGAGAAAAGACCACAACAACAAAAACGATAAAACATTTAGTTAATAGCTTTGTGAAACTATGCCTTCAAAAGCATGAACATAGCTTGGAACAGATCTTAACACACAGTCAAACCCCTTACATTAAAATTAACCAATATTTGTTAAATCTCTCATAACTAGCAGTTTTGCTGCACTTTTATAGAGCAAAATGTTGAATTAGAAAAGGGGGGTTATTTACTTTCCAGTTTTCTTAATTATTCATTTAATAGGGAGAACAGAATTATGGCTTTCTGTGTGACATATTTTCTATTATTTTGTCTTTAACTGTAACAATGGCCTCCTTGGAAGAGGAACAGATTTTTTTAAGTTTTCAAATAACTAGAAATTGCATGATTAGCAAGTGAATTGGGAATAATGAAATAAAATGCAGCACAATTTTTGTTTATAGTTTGTACATGTAATACCTTTGTCCTATTAATTGCCAGTCTTGAGAATGAAATGTTTATCTAAAGTTTCCTATAAAGACATAAATGTTAAATATCCATAGAAAAACACATTGCAAGAAATACATATTTTGATATCTTTGCAACATATCTGCCATTTACTATAACACAAAGGCTTATCATTTTGTATGACAATTATTTCACGCTCAAGTCTTGTGACAATGTAAGGACAACATAAGCTTCAGTCTATACTTTAACAAGAAATCACAAGATAAAATGTCTTACCCCTGCATCATTAACATCGAGATTTTTCAGGTCAAGTTCTAATTCTTTTTCAAGGTCGGCCATCTCATCCTCTCCTAACTGAGGCTGTTCAGGTTCTGTTACTGCTTTAGCCTGCAAATATATTGTATCATGAATTATATGAGCCGCGTCATGACAAAACCAACATAGTGGGTTTGCGACCAGCATCGATCCAGACCAGCCTGCGCATCCATGCAGTCTGATCAGGATCCATGCTGTTCGCTATCAGTTTCTCTGCTTGTAATAGAGTTTTTAAGCGAACAGCATGGATCCTGAACAGACTGTGCGGATACCACTATGTTTGTTTTGTCGTGATGCGGCTCAAATATCTTTATGGTGGACTGAGAACAGAAAACTCTGCTCCCAAATTGATGAATGACTTCATAGAAAACCAGTTCATAAACTTGAAAACTGAAAGCAGTAAAATAATAATGAATCAATAATAAATTATGGGTGATAAATACAAAAATACTTTTTTTTCTGAAATGAAATTACTATCAATTTATCAAAATTAGAAATCTTCTTAACAGAGATTTTGATAATATAATAGCAATAAAATACATTGTAAGGATTATGTAAACAAATAAAATGTGTATTTCATACTAGGTATTTGCATTACCAGGTATATTCCATTTTAAACACTTTTTTCAACCTTTATTTTGATAATGCTGTGAAATTTACTTGCCATGAATTGAATATGGAAATTGTTCATAAAATGGGATTTTATATGAAACCTTAATGCAAAATGTATCAACATTAAACAGTCTTGTATGAAAGTACACATTGATAGGGCTACAAACTTGTAAAATTGTCAGCAGAATTGAGAAATTTACACCCAAAACTTGCTGGATTTCTTGAACACAAAATTGTACAGCTACCATTTTGGAACAGTCCATTATAACGGGTAATCACAATGAAATATTAAGTTGGTCAGGAACAGTATTGTGCCTGGTCAGACTGCATAGTGCTGCACCTGGCCTGGCTCTATACTGGTGGCAAAGGCTAGTCACCTTTGGTTAGTAAATAGTATAATATATATTACAATCTCTCAACATTATTTCAGATTATCAACACATGATCAATTTACAGCTTTCTACTTGACAAAACAGGTACCCAGAAAAAAGAACATTGTAATTCCTGTATTCATGCATAAAAACCAAAACTCTTAATATCCCTCAATATTTTTTTTAATTGAATAATTTTCAAACTTCTGTTTAATTCACAATATTATCACTAAAAAGTTATTAGAAAGCTCTCCAAAATGAATATTTAACATCTTCAGGAAAGAATCATACCCAGAGATTGGACAAAATAACTAATCACCAGAGGGAAAAACAAACCTGTCAAAATAATTTTGAGATGCAAGTTCCTGTCTTACACATAAAGAATTGCCTTTCCCTCCTCATGCTTATTATCTTATAGAATTTTATTCATTAAAAAATTCACCAAGACTTGCATCTCAACAAATAAAACCAACATAAATGGTTGGAAAATAAAAACCACCAAAAAAAAAAAGAAGAAAAAAAGGATAAAATAAATTTCCCAAAGACCACTTTGAAAATTTGGTTATAACTAAATAAGTACCTCCTCCACAGGTGTGTACAGTGTACTGTCATGTGGAACATGTTCAGTGTTCACACTAGTGATGTCACATGACTGATCATGTGACTGATCTATATTTGGATCAGTTTCATCATAATCCTCAATGTCCGAGTCAGATCCCCAACCTTCCTCGGATGCCTCATTAACAACCTCTTCCTAGGATTTATAATATTCATCATTACATGCTCCCTTCTTGTTATTAAAAATAATCTAATAGGATTTATAATATTCATAATTACATGTTCCCTTCTTGCTATTTAAAATAATTTAATAGGATTTATAATATTCATAATTACATGCTCCCTTCTTGCTATTTAAAATAATTTAATAGGATTTATAATATTCATCATTACATGCTCCCTTCTTGTTATTTGTAATAATCTAATAGGATTTATAATATTCATAATTACATGCTCCCTTCTTGTTATTAAAAATAATCTAATAGGATTTATAATATTCATCATTACATGCTCCCTTCTTGTTATTTAAAATAATTTAATAGGATTTATAATATTCATCATTACATGCTCCCTTCTTGTTATTTGTAATAATCTAATAGGATTTATAATATTCATCATTACATGCTCCCTTCTTGTTATTTAAAATAATTTAATAGGATTTATAATATTCATCATTACATGCTCCCTTCTCGTTTAAAAAAAAGAAAAGATGAATTTCAATAATGATTCAATAATGGTTTTATAGCATGTTACTTGCTTTTTACCAGAAGAAAATGCTCTGAATGTGAAATAATTTGTCATAAAATTTGCCATAAAATTAAACAAAGTAGTATTTTGACTTTCATACAAAACACTAATTAATATCATTGCACTTATTGCAAAAAAGCAACAGTTAAAAAAAGATGGTTCAGGTAATTTACCAATGAGTAACTTTTCAGACACCATTAAAAATCAACAACAAAAAACTGTTGCTTTTTTCACAAACTTTTTTTCCGGAACCATGCAACATGGAAAACAAAATTTTAATATCCTTTATGTCTAAGGGTCAACCCAAAAGATACTGTTATTACAGGTTTGAAATTTTGTACATCAATACATTTAAATGAGGTTTCATTTTCTTTGGTACTGTAAAATATGTTTTGTAACATGCAAACAACACAAACATACAAAATAGATCATATTTCAATAACTCTGAAATCTTTCCTTTCACAAAAGAATACAAAAGTAAAATGTGTTGATCAATCCCATAAACAATATCAATCAAATTGATTCCCCCCCCTCCCCCCCCCCACCATTTTTTCTTATACTTAACCATTAATACGCACTTTAGTAAAAAGTCTTTGTACTTATGCCATTGAATGCAGATTTGACAGGAATATGTCAATAGGCATTGCTGATGTGGTTTAAATGTTTACTATTTCATTACAATAGAATGTGAATGATTTTACAGTATCTCATATTTACTCTCAATCATAATTTAGCTAAAACAAAAATAATGAAAACTAAATTTTCTACAAAGCATAACTATAGAAGAAATTTATGTTACATGTAGCACATGAAGTTTTATAGCATAATACAAAGACAGAAAGGCATTTTCTAAAGATGCCTGTACATTGTATTAAAAATATCCACTATTTGTAATATTATAGCAATTTTACAACTTTAAGTACACACAGAAAAAAACCTTGGCTGCTGTACTGCATATTTGTTTGTGTTAAAAGTATGTATAGGTGATTAACCTCTGACCTTTCTTAAGCTATTAAGGTAGCTGATAGCGTCCTTTTCATATGAATTTAACTTTCCTTGCAAGATCAAAACAACAAGGGACAAGTGATATGAAGTGTAACCAACTCAACTCACTGTGCCACTTTTCTTAGATAAATCTTCCTTTTACTGCATAATCATTATTTGCGGAGCACTAATTTTTGTGGTTTACAGATCAGACAAAATTTTATTTCCTATTATTTTGCATTACATTATTTGCATTTTACTATTTGCAAAACAGTCAATACAAGATTTTAAGAACCCACAAAAATGTTCTATGTGACAAAAACCATGAATTTATTTTCAGACAGACAAAATTAAGTGAATTTACAGTATATTCATATTCCACTCTCCACTTATCCTACTGCCATTAATGCTAACATAATAAATTTGTTACTTTAATAACAATCAGACTGATAATGTACAAGCACCTTTAAGAAATACACTGTAACTTAAAAAATAATACTAAAGCACTACAACTAATAAAATCTACAGCTCTATAACAAGCATTTCCCTGGAAATTAAAATAAAGAGTTTTACTGTTAGCAATATCATATCTAGGGTGTGAAGCTATTTTTACAAACGCAATATAAACAAGGGTGCACAATTCCAATCACCATAAATCTGGTGGTACCTGTTCAGTAGGTTCTGGTTTGACTGGTTCACTAGGTTTTGGTTCTGTTGGTGCTGTCTCAGTTTCAGGGTCACTGTCCCAGTCTAAATCTTTATCCTATACAGGGAGTTTAATTAAACACTACTATTATATCTTACTATGTAACAGTTCTTTTCAATCTTGCTACTTTTATTTCATGCTTATAGTTGCTACCAGTTTTAAAGGTTTTTAATTTTCTTCAGATCTGTTAGATGTTAGTGAATATGTTTTATGTCTTTGTTATTGTCGGTAAATAGCTTATTAGCTAATGTTTCTTGTAATTTGTAAACCGACTTGAAATAAAGTTTCTTGTATAACTTCAATTAGGGGGAGGTTAATATATTTTACATTTTTTTAACACTCTGTTTTTCTTTGTTATTCATTTTATATAGACAGAAAAAATTTATTCATCAACAATGAGTAAGTTCAGGAATGTCGGCAAAAGAAATACCCAATGTTCAAGCCATTATAATTTCCTCTTCATAAAATTCATGAAAAATCTTTGACAATTTTGAAATAATTAATAATCAAAAAGTGGCTACACATATTTAAAAGGCTAGATTTTCAAAACAGTGCCAATTAAAAGAAGAACACCAATGCTCCAGACAAACTCCACAAAACACAGTGCACATAAGACAGTGATTAAAAGCAGTAAAAATATTTTGCCTATTTTCCTATTTTAACAGTTGATCTACAAAATTAAAATTAACTATAATGTAGAACAAATGTGTAAAGTTTCTACCCATCCCTTCAGCAGTTTAGGGATACCAACTTGCACACAAAAACATAACCAAAGTGTTTAGATGATCAAATGATTTACTCTCTCATGTGGACTTTACCTCAGATTTTTGTTGTGATTGTGGGGCTTCAACGAATTCATCATCATCCCCTTCAGGTCGTGGGGGTTGGTAACTAAATGCACCCTTCTCCTCCGCAGCGGCCATCTCTTCTAGCGGTACTCGATCTGAATTTGCCTAAAATGTTCCACAACTTAATATAATTTTTTGGTAACAACATGTGGAGAAAAATACACTTCAGTATGTAAGAAAAACAAAGGTACTGAAACATTTCAAAGTCTGAGGTTGTTTAAGCTCAGAACCATTTCTAGGTCAGGTTACAAATGTCAAGTTCAACACATTTAAAATTTAAAACTAGAAAGGTGTCCATCAGACAGGGATGTCCCCATATTCTGTGTTTTATCAATCATAGATGGACAGTAGAACATGACTCTGTTATGTGGAGTTTCATTGAGATATCAGGGACAGTTTAGAAGTTTCAGACAGTTTAGAACCATGCCAATAACCATTTAAAATAATCATAAATGTAGATAAATCATTAATAAAGCAAGGTAGAAGTATAGTTCTTGTATTCTGCACTTTTTACTAATCTGAATCAGTGTAATAAGTTATAATCGAAATCCTTCAATACACTTCAAGTAAATCTCCACACAAGTGATGAGGAGCATGAAAATAGAAATAAACATAATAGTTTAATACTCTTTACTTTAATTGTGTACCCTTTATAGCAGTAACTATTTATCAAGATATACTATGCTCAAATTAAGGAAAACATTTTTTTGTTGAAATTTATTGAAATCTATGAAATTCTTACTGAACATGTCTTATTTAATTAAAAGACCAGATAAACTATGTATGAGAATCTGCGTTCCTTATAATTGGTCAAGTAAAGCTGGTCCTTTCTTTAAAAAACTGCCAGTTTTTTTTTAATGACACTATATGTATATATTCATAGTGTGTCCACTTATAATGTGAAGGATTTAAAGCATTACATATCTACTTTGTGTGAAGTCAAAACATAATTATTTTATATTTACAAAAATACTGTAAAGCAATTTTAAAATATCAAATTTGGATAACTGGATAAATTTATCAACTTCAATTAGCTGGCTGATAGATCTAGACACTTGCTGGAGAACAGAACTTCATTTTTAATTATGAAATGCAACACAATATTAAGCTAAAATATATGCACCTAAACGTAAATAACTTGTTTAACAGCTTATCTATTAATGATGCAGCTATATTTATAAACAGAAATAAAATAAGAGCAGACTTACAGGTACTTGAGGATAAGTCCGTGCTGGGTACCGTCTCATTCTCTGTGGTTTAAGGAATTGTTCACATTTTACGGTCTCGGCAAAACCAGGGAACAGATTTTCATACTCTGCTGGGTCGGCTAATGAATTAGCAGCTTTTACATTATGTAGTGATTCTCTCCATAATTTTACTATTCTGTAATCATAGAGAAAATAATAGTTATCATTATAAATTGGTGAGCTTTGTTTTGTTATAACAATAATTTTAAAACATGGCATTTAAGTATTATTAGGTTTCTATTTTATCAAATTATCTCGCATTCACACCAATTAGGTAAACTTGAGCCTTACAAGATTTTGTTGGTTAAGAAACATTCCAAGATGCCCAAATCTAGCATTACTACACACACAGGCTTGTGTTCAAGCAGAGCCACTGGCCTCCTGCACCCTGGCTGAATACAAACCTTACATGAATTATGTCAACATTTCATTGAGATCCATAATCAGCAGCAAATGACTGGACTAAAACTTCTTTAACATTGTTGATATGAATTCCCCTGACTAACACCTTATTACATAGTTTTTGCATCACAAGTAGTTTATATTACCAAAATTTATCCAGTTTTGAAACATCTCAAAACTGAAAAGACCATAGTTCAGTCAAACTCCATGTCAGATTAAAAGGCCATACACAGTAACATCCAATGATGACCATGCTGATATATATTACTGTTAATATATATTACTACTTTAGTAGTTTTTTAGAACTGAAGTCACACGCAAAAGTTCAACAAATAATTTTTAATAATGTTCAAGAAGAGCCATAATTCTGTAAAATTATAGGCTAGAGTTATTGGTATTGGATAGTGAACTCCAATCATGATGTATAAAATGTTACAGGCAAATATCTTAAGAGGTTGATGAGACATGAAGTTGTACAAGAAGCTGCAAACTCATGGGCCAGTAGGATAGCCCTTCTATTCTTCAAATAGAAGTGAAATAATTACCTTGATACATGACTAGGTAAGTAAGTTCTGGCAAAGAATGATGCCTCTGGTAATCTTCCAGTGTTGACCAGTACATCCAGAGCCTTCTCTAATCTGTAAATATTATAATATGGCTTAAAAAAATATCACAAATAAAAATTGTTTCATGCTGCTGACTTGTTCTCTCTTCTTGTGTTTTATTTTGAGATTTTTTAAAATAACAAGAGCTGTAGGTAGGACAGCACGCTCGACTATTTTAAGTGCTTGATAGTAAAAGAGCCTTTATAATGTTAAATTTTTTAAGTTCACAAAAGGGCTAATTTTTTTTATAAATTCATGTTCTAGGCCTTAGAGAGAGTCTAATTACACAGTATTGGCTTGACTATTCGGAATGTAATGTCACAAGGGTGTTTTATTGAGTATAATAATACTCATTACCTATGAATACATAAATTTGACAGAAAAGGTACAAAGGCTTGTTATTAAGATGTTTTATCAAGTAAATCACTGCTTTATTATTATGAATGCATAAAATTGTCCCAAAAAAGGCACACACCCTTCAGTAGTTATTGAGATAACAGCTTACAAGCAAAACTTTACCATGAATTTCTAAGCTGAAAAAGGGGAGAAAAATCAGCCTAAATGCAAGATAGAATTATGGATCTTTGTCAGTGACCTACAATTATGACCCTAAATGCATATGTGAAGTTTTAAATAAATATCTTTAATAGTTATTGAGATATGTAAAACTACCATGTAAACATTAACCAAGAGACTAAGTAGAAAAGGGGATATGAATTAGCCTTAATGCAAGATAGAGTTATGGAACTTGGTCAGTGACATACAATTATGACCCTCCAATTATGACCCTAAGTGCATGTGTAAAATTTCAAGTAAATATCTTTGAAGACCTTTAACCTTTAACCAAAATTTCTAAGTTTCAAAGGGGCAAATAATTCTGCAAATATTGCAGGCAGAGTTTTGCAAACTGATGTACATTGTTACTATAAAAGAGTATTTTAAATTTCAATTGAATATCTCAAGCAATAATTGAGATATTTGACTTTACAAAAAAACTTTAACCAAAATTTCTAAGTTCCAAAGGGGCATAATTCTGTCAATATTGTAGGCAGAGTTATCCAACTTGTCAATCTGATGTACATTGTTACTATAAATAAGTATTGTAAGTTTCAATTGAATATCTCAAGCAATAATTGAGATATTTGACTTTACAAAAAACTTTAACCAAAATTTCTAAGTTAAAATGGGGCATAATTCTGTCAATATTGTAGGCAGAGTTATCCAACTTGTCAATCTGATGTACCTTATTACTATAAATAAGTATTGTAAGTTTCATTTGAATATTTCAAGCAATAATTGAGATATTTGACTTTACAAACAAGAGGGCCATGATGGCCCTAGATCGCTCACCTGACCCATCAAACTCATCCAAACAATTACCTAGACAAGCATTCTGACCAAGTCTCATGACAGGTGAGTCAAAAATGTGACCACAACAGTGTTAACAAGGATTATCCATATTTGAGCAGTGTGACCTAGTTTTTTACCCAGGTGACCCATATTCAAACTTGACCTAGAAATCATCAAAACAAACTTTCAGACCAATTTCCAGGATACTTGGATCAAAACAGTAGCAACTAGAGTGTTAACAAGATTTTTCTATTTTTAGCTCCGGTGACCTAGTTTCACATGCGATTTCGAACTCATCCGAGCAATTACCTAGACAAGCATCCTGACCAAGTTTGATGATAATTGAGTCGAAAATGTGACCACTAGAATGTTTACAATGTTATCAGAGGGATGACCCCGACCCTCTCATACCTATTACGGGGTAAATAAACGGGGTTACCCAGTTGGGGCCTCAAAAAAAAAAAAAAAAAAAAAAAAAAAAAAAAAATGTTTACAAGGTTTTTCAATATTTGGGCGGTCTGACCTAGTTTTTCATCCAAGATGACCCATGTTCGAACTTGACTTAGAAATCATCAAAACAAACCAATTTACAGGATATTTGGATCAAAACAGTAGCCACTAGAGTGTTAACAAGATTTTTCTATTTTTAGCTCCTGTGACCTAGTTTTTCGACCGAGATGACCAATGTTCGAACTCATCCGAGCTATCAACTAGACAAACATCCTGACCAAGTTTGATGATGATTGAGGCAAAATTGTGTCGCTAGAGTGTTAACAAGGTTTTTCTATTTTTAGCTCTTGTGACCTAGTTTTTCATCCGTCATGACAAATGTTCGAACTCATCCGAGCTATCAAATAGAGAAGCATCCTGACCAAGTTTGATGATGATTGAGGCAAAAATGTGACCGCTGGAGTGTTAACAAGGTTTTTCTATTTTTAGCTCCGGTGACCTAGTTTTTATTCCGAGATGACCCATGTTCAAACTCATGCAAGCTATCACCTAGACAAGCATCCTGACCAAGTTTGATCATGATTGAGGCAAAAATGTGACCGCTAGTGTGTTAACAAAGTTTTTCAATTTTTAGCTCCGGTGACCTAGTTTTTCATCAGAGATGACCTATGTTCGAACTCATCCATGCTATTTCCTAGACAAGCATCCTGACCAAGTTTGATGATGATTGATGCAAAAATGTGACCGCTAGAGTGTTAACAAGGTTTTTCTATTTTTAGCTCCAGTGACCTACTTTTTCATCAGAGATGACCCATGTTCGAACTCATCCGAGCTATCACCTAGACAAGCTTCCTGACAAAGTTTGATGATGATTGATGCCAAAATGTGACCGCTAGAGTGTTAACAAGGTTTTTCTATTTTTAGCTCTTGTGACCTAGTTTTTCATCTGAGATGACAAATGTACGAACTCATCCTAGCTATCAACTAGATAAGCATCCTGACCAAGTTTGATGATGATTGAGGCAAAAATGTGACCGCTAGAGTGTTAACAAGGTTTTTCTATTTTTAGCTCCGGTGACCTACTTTTTCATCCGAGATGACCCATGTTCGAACTCATCCAAGCTATCACCTAGACAAACATCCTGACCAAGTTTGATGATGATTGAGGCAAAAATGTGACCTCTAGAGTGTTAACAAGGTTTTTCTATTTTTAGCTCTTGTGACCTAGTTTTTCATCCGAGATGACCCATGTTCGAACTCATCCAAGCTATCAACTAGATAAGCATCCTGACCAAGTTTGATGATGATTGAGGCAAAAATGTGACCTCTAGAGTGTTAACAAGGTTTTTCTATTTTTAGCTCTTGTGACCTAGTTTTTCATCCGAGATGACCCATGTTCGAACTCATCCGAGCTATCAACTAGATAAGCATCCTGACCAAGTTTGATGATGATTGAGGCAAAAATGCGACCGCTAGAGTGTTAACAACAAAATGTGAACGGACGGACGAACGACGGACAATCATCGATCCTAAAAGCTCACCCTTAGCATGCTCAGGTGAGCTAAAAACTTTAACCAACGCAGACGCGGACGCCGGGGCGACTACAATAGCTCTCATATTCTTCGAATAGTCGAGCTAAAAATGTTAACATCAATAACCCATGGACTTTCTCAACATATCATTAGAGTTAGCTTTATAGGTTTTTTTTTCTTTTTTTTTTCACAAATGAGTGTAGCAAAAGGCAAGTTAATGTAAAGAAAACTGTCAATTGAAGGAACAGGCAGTGAAAAATATTTTCAGTCACTCCTCCTGCAGGATGAATAGCTTCTAAATCCAATGTGCAGGCAACATTTTCCTACTTGTCCTGCATCAAATTCTATTAAATTTTACTTGTAACTACAAGCGGATGAGTGGATTTTATTCGATCTTTCATTCAATTGATTAAATGAAACACATCCAAGACAGCAAATTAGTCATTTCTTACTGTCCGAGCACAAAGTATGAGAGGAATGCAGGTTTTTTTTCTATCTTTCACAAATGAGTATAGCAAAAGGCAAGTTAATGTTATGAAAACTCTCAAGCAAAGGAAAACACATCCAAGATATTATAGCAAATAAGTCATTACTTACTGTCCGAGCACAAAGTATGATAGGAACGCAACATTGTTCTGTCCTCCTTTCTCCGCAGACTCTCCGAGTTTTCCTAGCATTTCAGCGTTACCAGCAGACGACGCCAGTAGTAACAGACCACCAAAGTCCTGCGCCTGATGTAGACATTCTAACGCCAGACCAAACTCACACTTCTGTATGGCTAGTTCTGCCAGTTGCTTCCATTTTTGTTCACCCTATAGAATATTTGAAAGCAAATGTATTACCAGATTTTCTTAAAACATGTGATTTAATCTCTGTTACACTTTATTTCAAAAATAATTCTTTTTCTCGTCTAAATGACATTCACCTTGTTTTTTTTAAAAATTCTGTATCTAAATGAGAATTAAGAACTTCCAAAGGGTCATAACAAGCAAAGCTATCTTCACCTTCCAGGCAAAATTCATGGCAAAAATCTATTGTAGCAATTATGTTATTAACAATCAAGACTATCTTCAACAAACCTCTAGTTCCTTAGCAATCTGATAGGCTGTTTTTAGGTCCCCTAAATTTACAGAAAGTTCAAACTTGTGTTCTGGATCACACGTTACTGCTAAAGCTTGCGATTTAAATCCCTGAAATTAAAATATATTTTAGACATACAAAAAATCCTAAAATCTGTCTAACTAGTGATAAAACAACTTATTATTTATACAATACATGTATAAGTGAAATAATCTGGAATCTGAACTTGAAAAATCTGATTTATTTATTGATGATACATGTCATTCTTGGAATTTTAAAATCAATTCATGTAAACAGAGGTGTATAATCTTGGACAGTATCTATTGTTTATTTATATATGCCAGTTTCTATGAACTTGTGTGTAAAACAATGAGAATATATTTGGGCTACAACTTCTGGCGTATGTTTGTTAAATTTAATAAATGTTATATGAAGGAAAATCCTCAAAACATAAATGCATGATTTTAATACAAGTTGATTAAAACATTCATAAAATACAACAATTAAACAATTGAGCGTTGCAAATGAGAATTATTTTAATAAGTAAATGAATTAAATGAAAACAATCTTATAACAGTGCCTTAATAAAGAATGAAAATAACTTAATAATAAGTAACAATTCATAATGGTAGAATTTTGTAAACTGTTTTTTGTATATTAATATGTTTTAATTGTTTTGTACAAAAGGGATTTAAAATATTAATGCAGCATTATTTTTTTATATATAATTATACAACATTTTTGCACCATTAACATTTTTGGTTGGTTGTTCTAACCTAGCTAGCTAAATGTGCACTGGACATCAGATTATTTAAGATAAATAGTATGAGCTTGATGTTCAATATATCCCTAAATGATGTATTTTGAGATGAATATTACCTGTTTTTCAAGGAAATGAGCTACACGGGTTCTATGTTCTCTCGGGACTGTAGGTAACACCTTGTCAGCGGTCTCAAAATCCTGTCTCATAACAGCGGTCTGATACTCTAGTACTGACAAGAGCAGGGAGAAACTTATAACATTCAATTCTTTATCACCCAGGTACAGTCTGTTATCCTTTGGTATATACCCTAATATATACATTACTCTGTAACAGAATAATAGACTTATACAAACATCATGCTTCACCACGCTGGATATCTTATATCTATCTTCAATAAATGTCACAAGCCCATGGGGGGATATGGACTTGTCCATTTTTCAATTTGGACATAGCCATTCTTCACTTTTAGGGATATTTTCAAAATATGTACTGACTGAATAGCAAACCATGATCAGAGGGCATTGGTAGATACTGTAGTTCAAGGGCTAAATCAAAGTTACTTCACGGGTTGAGTGAACAGCAACAATTTTTTTTATACAATATAAGACTCAAAATGCCACTAATATATTTGCGACTTGTTTGTTGGATTCCATTTATAGCCAGTTGGCAAAATGCTATCTGGTATATGTTTTTATTTAATTATTTAACATAACAACAGAAGACAATGGTATAAGTATAATATGTACTATACATAAGACTTGAGCTCATGAGTTCTAAGTGTGTGTGCTTACAATCTAGGCTTTACATAGAACTTAATATACAATCCACAATATATCAATGTCATTGTATACATATTAGATAATTAATTGATCTTCTGTAACAAATATGATTTTATTGAATACAAGTTAAGGTTAAAATAAGCTGAGTGATTTCAGGTGATCCAAGACTTTTCAATTTGCTTTTGACTGTAAGAATATTGTCTTAAATCTAACATGGCTCAAATATATAAAACATTTAGCAGAATAATCTTGAAAGTCTTTCAGTTACTGTCCTGACAAAATTTTCTAGCTTGTCAGACTGTTTTGCCTTTTGCAAGGTCGGTGATCCATAAAAAAATCAACATATGACAATTTTGACTTACCTATCTAAATGAGCTATAGTAACAATTTCACCACCAACATAGTAATTCAGTCTGTTGACAGCATTTGTATAAATAAAACAATCTCCAACCCAGGTCCCGGTCTTTACTATCTCTTCTGTTTCTCCAACAACCTTAATGTCACAAAATAAAATTTATATTTCAAAATTATCACAATTTTATTTCTAAACATATAATGTTTTTAAATATAAGATATTGAGAACAGGTATGAAACTGAAAAAAAAAACAAACTTGGTAGTCTTTTCATCTTAATCATGCATCTGTTTGAGATTTTTATTTCTTACACAAGAGCAGAAAATAAAAATTATAATCAGCAGAGTTTTCATTATTAACAGATTTGGGATCCATATGATCCGTTGCAATGCCGTTAAAATCGGTTGTATTTTCAGTCTGCAGATAAAAATATCCACCTTGCCCCTTGGTCAAATCATTTGTTCTTGTTTTTTATGAAATATTAGATGACAAATCTAAAGAGTCAGACAGTTACCACTATGCCTATATAATAAATGCAAATATAAAATAATTATTTCCTACTCACATCAAATGCCTCTTCAATGCCGTCTTCAGTAACAAGTTCTTTATTTTCTGTAGCCTTCTCTACTGCATCAGGATTGTATTTGAGGATAAAAAAAGAATCTTCTGTAGATAGGCACATCAACTCTCCGTTCTCACTCCAGAATACCTACAATACCATACGTAGATTATGTTTATGATTTGGGATAAGAATAGCATATTTCTTATTCAGGATTAAAACTAGTGCTTTTATAGATTTTTACTGTGCAGCTTTGTTCTCCCAATGCGCTATTTTAAGCATATGAAGGTACATTCATTAAGCAAGACTAACAAATTTCCTACATATACGATTTGTTCATCTGTTTTTACACTGATTTAGACACATTTTTGGTCATATATTGGTGGTTGGTCTATCTAACAGGCCTTCCAGGATAACTTACAAGAAATTGAATTACCAAGTGACCACCTACAAATCTCACATGGCTTAAGCTATGCAAGACAAATGATAATAAGACTCAATGACCAAACTTGTCACAGAAAATTTAACCTGATCAACTGCCTTTGGATAACAAATATGATGCTTTTCCTATTGAGCGTGGTATGCATATGTTAAACATTGTACTATAATTCAATATATTTGAAAGAAACTTTCAGTAAATGCTTTCTTACATTTTTAGGTGTAATTTCTATTCTTCTAATAAGTTCAGTGGTGTCCCAGTCGTAGAATGCCAGCCCGCTGACAGATCGTACACCTAGCATGTTCCCACCATATATACCTGTACAAATATATATTTCAGTTCATCTAAATACATTTGTACTAAATCAATTAAATATTATTGAATGTTCAGTGCCATGTGAAGTTTTATGCTTACAGTTATTACTGTCCAGGCCTTTCTTGTGCCTAATAAGCATTGAAGACGCTTCCAAAAATAATTAATATAGAGCTAACTTGACTAGAAACTACAGGTCAAATTTTATTTGTATGTTTGTGTATGAAGCTATCGGATAAGCTTACACTCACAAACACACTCTCAAATTCATTTCTGTAACCAACTAGTACTTCAGATGTGTCAGGTTCTTTGAGCAAGAAAACAAAAATTAAAATTTTATTAACTATTACATTGGCAAACTTGGTAGCTGTATCTTAAATATCTTCTTTTTCTTCAAATTAATACATATCCAATGATTCCATACACTAATATTTTCCATGTTAAGTGTCATAATAATAAGAAATGTCTCTAAATAACAATAAGACAATAAAAGATATAAAATTGGGCAGTATTGCAATATAAACTTACCTTCACAGCCAAAGTCTGGCTTGAATGATTTCTGTTCCTTAAAGTTTTTGAAGATTTTCACCATACTGCTCCCCTCCCTGATGGCGTACACTGAGGAGTCATTACTCCAGACAAACTCCTGTGCAGAGCCAAAGCTCTTGTTTCTGAGTGCCATAGCTGTGTAAATAATATATTCACCATCTCCACACACACATACAAACCTAGCAGACAAATAAACAAGGCAATCATTCACTATTATCATAAGATCAATTACACTTTCACTTCCGTCTATCAAGGAAGTTTTACTTTAAATTTCAAACTTTTGTTAGTATGTTGGGTTCTAAACCACATTGGTACTATTGGAACAAATTATCATTTGTTAATCTGTTTCAAAAGCTGGAATATATATAAGACACAAGTTTATGTGCCATTTTACTTATTAATATTTCCAAGATTTGGCCTCATTAAAAAGATACAAGATTTTACTGATCTACATATTTGATAACCTTATTTTGGAATGAAATAGTTTTATGTATCTAACTCTATCAAAATGCATATGAGCCACGTCATGACAAAACTAACATAATGGGTTTGCGACCAGCATGGATCCAGACCAGCCTGCGCATCCGTGCAGTCTGATCAGGATCCATGCTGTTCGCTTACAAACCCTATAACAAGTAGAGAAACTGATAGCGAACAGCATGGATCCTGATCAGACTGGTCTAGATCCATGCTGGTTGCAAACCCATTATGTTGGTTTTGTCATGGCGCTGCTCATATGATATTTACCTTCCATTAGGATTATGCTGTATACTTTGTGGATATATTTCACATGCTCCCATGTCTTTCACAGCTAGAGCCAGCCTCTCACCGTCCTTGATTTCTTGGTCACCCATGGCCTTAATGTTAGCCTGCTGCACCTCTGAATGCTTAGCCCAGATAATTTTACCACTAGAGTCCATGGACATTGCTGGCTCCTCACGACCAAGCTGAAATTACATTGATTATATAAAATATCCAAATTTTCTAGTCATGTTATAGATGACCTTAGTCTAAAAAGAAAACATTGACAGAAAATCCAGTATACGATACATTAACTTAATTTGGCTTTAAATGTTTTTACTTCATTTCCCACAGATAACAATATCACAGGACATGTATTACATATTTTAACAAATGAACATCACAAAAAATAATTTGGATTCTATGTGAAGTATTTGGGTGAGTAAATTTTTAGCTAAGCTCCAAATTTTCATATAAGCACTTTTTTCAATATGGTTATCTTTCAATACACTTAGACCACATGTAGATATTACTTCCATTGTACCTTTATAATGATACTGCCTTCATCATAACCAAGTGCCACATTATTAGAGCCCCTCTGACAAGCTATTGTCCATACCCTCTCTAGACCATAGTTTAATGTTGACTCAAGCCTGTATGTATTAGCATGCCAAATTCGTACTGTACCTGTTAAATAGAAAAAAAAGACCATTTAGTCTGGTTGATCATTTCATTTACATCAAACGAAGCAGATACTTGCAAATCATCACCTGTCTAATCAAATTTAAATAACAACAATAAATAGTATGAGATCAACACAACAATACAGGAACAAGTTAAAATTTTTATTTAAAACCTACTAGTTTTGGGTATTCACTACCGTTTTTCAATTTAAGTTAAAGATTCAAGATAATCTAATCTACAGCTAGGAAGGGTAAACCATCAATTATAAGTTAATAATAAATGTATATGAAATTGTGTAATCGACCTGCCCTCCTGCAATGTTAGATGATAATACACTTACTATCTTCTGATCCAGTAAGTATGATAGGTAGTTCAGGATGGAAAGCTACTGCAGAAATATTCTGTGCATGTCCCTCTAATGTTTGCACACATGTTTTGTTCTGGAATTCAAATTCATACAGATAATTTCAATACTGATACTATTCAAAAATAATGTTAACTGAACAAAAATACTATAATACCTCTTTTTTTTTTTAGGAACACATAAAAGTGGGGACAGAAAATGCTGCAAAAATTGGGCGATTTTTTTTTTAAAACTTTTTTCCAAGGGAAAATGCAGGCAGTTATATTATACAGGTGCTGTAGTTTACATATTTTCTGAATTCTTAAATTTGTACCAAATCTATGAACTTATGATAATGTTATAAATTCAAAGCAATATGGGATGGTAATTCATTACATGAAAATAAAGTCATAATATTATCTTTTTCTTTTTAAAGAGTAGTTTTTAATACTAGTGTCGTGTTCTAGGATATTGTACCAGCGTTTTCCTATAAATAACTGCTGATTTCTCCAAAAAGTCACTTGACATAATGGTAGAAAACTTGACATTAGATATCTATTAATCAATGCCTCTTTCAGAACTCAGAATAGGAATCCCAAGTCAATAAAACTTTTCTAAATCCCTTATCATATGCATCAATTTTGTTCTTGAGCCACAAGTTACAAGAAAACATCTTGCAGAGATAATACCACAGCAGGGTTTGTACAGACATTTCAAGGAAAAATTTTAAAGCATGTTTTCCCATTTTTCAAGCACATTTTGTTGCACATACATAATTTTTTACCCATGACAAAGTAACTTTAACAGTCATAAAACATTTGAAACTTTATTCTTGACTGTTAAGTAACAGACATCGTACATTGTGTGATATTTAAATATATGCATTCATGTAAAAGTACAAATACATTATTCTAGTAAGACAAACAAATTTAATCATTATCATTGTTTCTTGATTTAGATACTAAATTGAATTTTTTTGTTAACTGTCAATTTTTACTGATACCATGCCATTCTATAATTTTCATGCATATTTGCAGCAAATTTAAGCGCTTCAAGAGAGTTATCAAATTCAAGGACTTCTAAGCACTTTTTTTTTCACTTTTAAGCTCTTTTCAAGAAAAGGACCCAAATTCAAGAACTTTTACAAATGCTGCACAGCTACCCTGACTTACCTGGTAATCCCAGATTTTCACCAGCCTGTCATCGGCACCAGAAATTAGGTATGGTTTATCTCCCCCTGTGTAATAATCTACACAGTTCACTCCCTTCTCATGACCTTCTAGTGTAAAATTGGGATTTGGTGAACCTAGCTGCCACACCTATAAGAGAAACATACTATCAGGAATGGTCAAAATGTTACACTAAGGGATGTGTTCTCATTATATTTTGATACAAACGTATGCTTCTAATTCCGTTATAAGGACTTTATCAACTTATCACGGTTTCTGGTTATTTTAATTTTTTTCCACTTACCCCAAGTTCAAGTTGGACAGAAATGTTTACTTTCCTACAGTTGAACTTGCCCAATAACAATTAAAATAAGGTTGGATGAAAGTTAACAACAGATAAAAGTGTCCTTCTTTAGTAAGGTATAGCAAGATTTAACCATGTACAGACCTGATGTCGTAACAACAGTTATAGGAATTTTTTTACAAGTTTTACACAACAAGTATGATTGAATTAACATCCTTTCAGAGCCAATCAACATCAAGAAAACATCTATCCTTGGCACATGTGTGAATTCACATTGATCAATTCTCCTCTCTGTGATTTAGTTAAATGCTTTTTTGAATTCTTTTGCTGTATCATATGGCTATGATACGCTCTGTTTAACAAACATGTGCAATTTTACAGATATGAGCCAAAACAACTTTACAGTTGCCACCTTATTTGCATGACAATACTTAGTTAAACACTGAGCAACTTTCCAAATAAGACCAATCCTGGAACATGCTTGCCGACAGCAGGTGTTTCTAGCCAGAGACCTCTTACAGAACAGGCAAATGTAAATATAAATGTTGTAACAAAACTTGAAGATTAAATATTTCCAAATATTTCTCTTCAGGACTCACAGTTCACTTTTCAATGAACAAATGCTATGGGAAAATCTATTTGTCTACCGGTAAAAAAAAATACTGAGTATGACAATTTGAGAATAGGATCCCCCCTGCGCAAAAAAAACAAAACAACAATTTATTTGCAAGCTAATTATAAGTAAACCTTACCTTGACAGTTCTGTCCAGTGACGCACTAGCAAATGTGTTGTTGTCTTTTGGGTTTATAACAATCTGCATCACATAGTGTGTATGCCCTTCAAAAACTTGTGTACATGTCCATTTTTTCTCCCAATCCCAAAGCTTGATCAACATGTCATCTAAAATAGGTTCAATGGCACAACAGTGACAATAAGGTCAGCATTTGATAATGAACTAAAGCTTTATATTGGTGAAAAAAATCTGATTTTTATTGGAAAAATAGTAACCAGTAATTGTTCCCTTTGGTTTACATTTTACATTCTTTTAACATTTCTCTTAATTGGGTTTCAAGATTATATGGTGAATTTCTACAAAGATTCGAGTGTCTGTTTCATTAGTAACTGTTTGGGTACTGGCTACAACTGAATCGAACCGTACATCAAGTGTAAAGTAATGTAATCATGGTCTGAACTGTTTGCTCTAAGTCAGCTGCCTTTTTTATACATTTTCCCCCTAAAATAATGAATGGTTAAGTCCAGACTGAATGCTGGACAAGTCTATTCAAGTTTTCTAGCAATGCAAAGGTTAATACTGGCTGGAAAGTATGCCTAGGTAGAACCTTGAAAGAATGGTTCTTAACTTTGAAGTTTCTGGAATCAACTTTTAATAATGAAATGGGCATCTATTTTTTGTTTGTTTGTTTCATTTTACGCCTTTTTCAACAGTATTTCAGTCATATAGGCAGGTAGTTTCCTAACCATCGTTCCTGGAGAGTTACACCAGTACTAGACTACCTTCCTCCGCGCTAAACTACCAAAGCATCTCCCCGGGATCGAACCCACGCCAGAGAGGTAACTGGATTAGAAGTCATCGACTCTAACCCCTCGACCACGGTGGCGGTTACGAAATGGGCATCTATGAAAATATAGCATCTGTTATATGGGAGACCCTTTCTGTAATAATTTCATACAATTAACAACTAGCAAATGGCTATTTTTCTATAATGACACTGTTATAATGGCTGTGTAATGAAGCTTTATTCTCAGGAACAATATAAAAATATATAATGAGGCATTACTCTCAATGAATATTATACAGAACGAGTCTGTGTAACCTATTTATGTATTTACAAGGAGAGCTTACCACTACTTGTTAAGAAGAAAGGCTGTGTCGGGTGGACTGCTATGGCTCGAATATAGTCACTATGAGCTTCAAACTGATGTACTCTCTCTAATGTGTTGTAATTATAAACTCTCACATGCATGTCATCCTGTAGGGGAGGAAACAAACAATAAAGTCAGCTTAAATTTGACTCCCTATCAACTAATGAAGGTCCTTAGCACATTGAAAAATATCTCGCATTTATTAACAGATTAGTGTTAGGGTTCCATTAACTGAACAAAAGGGGTTATACTATTTGAAATGCAAAATGGGTCCCTATCAGGACACCAATAATTATTATTTTGGATCACTTGCCAGACGAAAAGCTATTGCAGATAAAGAATAAAATCAAATGAAACTATAGAGTAATATTTCTTCATGAATCATGAAAAGTTCAAATATTTTTTTTTTACAGTTAACTTACTACAGTCAGAAAGAGCACAATATCACTGAGATTAAGGAACATCTAGCATTTAAAATAGATAATAGAATACTTACAGAACCTGTGATGACCCAGTTTTTCCTTGGCACAAACCTAGCTGTTCTAACTGGCAGATCACATACTTCAAATGATTTGATCAGTTGCTACAACAGAAAAACTTCAACACTGAGAAACTGTTCTGTTATATAATAACTCAAAGTTTTGTGCTCTTCATAATCTAGTGTATCATGATACAAGATATGGATGTTTAGATCTAACATTAGACTTAAATATATCAGTGCTGCATAATTATGGTCATGGTGTACTATCATTCCATCAATTCATTATAATTACTATTTTTCTAAACTAAAAGTCTGCAGACTTACATTAAAGTGAAAATGATAAAAAAATGTTATAATTTTTTAAGTTACAAAAAACATCTTGTCTCTTAAACTTGCTGGAACAAAACAAGTAAATATGTGTAGTTTGATCAGGGTCTATATTGTTGGCTGAATAACTTTATAAAATATCATCCCAATACTTCAAAATTATAATAATAGACATTTCTAAAAATTGCAGCTGGGAAAGTCCGGAACACAAATTTACCAAAATAAAGGTTAAAGGTTAAATGTTTACCTTAAACTTACAAGACAACATTTTTTCTGGAATGTGTCAGTATGAAGGAGAGCAAATTCCAGACCTCTTAAGTTATAATAATTCAGTAATAAATATTTTGAAAAAAAAAAAGAAAAAAAAAAAGATTTTTAATAAATGTTATCAATTTTGATTCACAATCTGCATCTTGGAATGACAACATAAATAGATACAATCTTTATGTTCATGTAGACAAAATGTTATATGTATGTCTAGCAGGGGTTTCAGGGTAAAGGGTTTAGCAGGAAGGGAACTATTACTAATTAAAGCCTGAACAAGTGGATTTAATAATGTGTATGCTGGGACATTATAGGAGCACATTGCAGCAAGCAACATTATGAAGAGACAGTTTATTTATTAGACTGGCACCAAGATAATGATTATTTCTTTTTTATACATACACTATTTATTTTAGCTGTCAAGAATGTTTTCAGGTGTTTTTTTGGTTTTTTTTTAGAGTCTACTCTTAAGTTGGCTTCATGAAACTATCCAGCGCATAAACCAGGTTAATGGATGTTTGAATGTCATTTACTCCTGATTTTGGCTTGTGACTTCCAAAATATAATGCTTTTCCCTCCTTACCTACATGTATATAATGTGACTTAATGTGAAATTTTCACTCTCTGACTTCCAAATTTTAAAAGTGGAAGCCTGATAAACAGCAGTGACCCAAAATCTGTCCTGTGTTGAGAGGTGAGTAGAATTAACTTTGACAAAAATATTGGTTAATTATTATAACTTCATAGCATTTGAATTTTTGTCTATATGTAAATTTACTCCAGTATAATTATAGTAAGTTTAACTCGAAAACTGTTGTGCAAAATTCCATTATGTCTCTAAAACTTTGATCTGTCTGATTCATACTTAAATAGATGTAAGCACAAAACCTTATAACTACAAAAATTACCACATTTATAAACATGACTCCTAACTCTTGCTTCCACCTTCAACATAAAAATTATACTGTTATCCATTAATCTTCCACAAGTCTAGATAACTAACATACTTTGCATGCAATTCTGTGACATTAAATTTGGTTTTACTTTAAAAAAAAAAAGGAGTGCACAATTTTTTCACATATAAATTGGAAACATGCAATTATAGAAAATCTCATGATGACCTTGACCCATGGAAACTTGAAAATCAATAACCATTCCTTTTCCAATTAAAATGTGAGTCAAATTTATTTATTGGCTTGGAAATAAGTCAGTTTTAACTTTCTAGCACAGATAATGTTTTGTAATTAGAAAAATAACACCAAATTGACAGAATGTATGAAAAGACTAGCAATTATCACCGAGAACTACATTTTGTACATACAAAATTGTATTTGTGGGTTAAGTTCTGAAACTATGGGCAATCATTAAAGCCAATAAATAAAGTTGTTATCACCTTAAATTCATACAAGGCTTTCAACATCCTTACAATAATATTTAAATGTAAATGTTTCAGAAATTTATTCTTCAATTTAACCAACTTAACATTTTTCAAGACTTTTCAAAACTAGATGGTTATGAACAGTTAAAATGATAAAAAAAAAAAAGTATGACCATAATTAGAAATTTCATCAATCCATTTCTTCTATGCTGAGTAACTAGGAAAATGTTTCTACTAAATACATTTGGGAAATAAATGAGGTATGTTCTAACTAGCAAGCTTTAAAATTCTAAAAAGATGTCTACTAACTTATGTCCAGACAGTTGAGGAGATTTATAACTTTTCAAGCAGATTGAAAGAACAGTTTCAAAAATTCATTTACCAAAATACAGAAATTCAAACAGATACAACTGTATATTAACAGAATTATATGTGTACTTAATACTATAAGAGGGATATATGGTGGGATTCTTTTATCATACTTGAAAAGGATGAGTTGAAAGCCTGTATATTTTAAAGAAAAGAATTCAAACCTGTTTCGTGTAGTCCCAAATTTGAACCTGGCCGCTAAAAATGCTAACAAGCATCCAGGGATATTCTGGATGCATGTCATTGCTTTTTACACGGTCAGACCGAGTAGTTAGCAGGCGGGTTGTGTTTAACTTAAGAGGCTGGAAAATAAACAAAGCTAAGACGTTAAGAGATAATCGGGTAAATTTATCTTTATATTATAGGTACATTTGTTTTATAGGTATGCCAGTGAGAAATTACAAACAAAATTTGCTGATTTGCAATATAAACAAAACTGAATATATGAAAATGAAACTCACTAAAAATATTTAATCAAATGCCTGTGCTGATATTTCCAAGACATCCTAGTAATGTAACTATTTACAATCAAGAATGTGTTATACTTAAAGAATTTTAAAACTACAATTGCAAATCAACAATGATGTTTGTAACATTCACAGATGACAACCACAGTGTCCCGCTGAATTGAGCCAGGCTCAGTTCTATCATAGTGCAAGGAGTACCTGTGATTCAAAATTCCATATATGGACATTTCCGTTATATAAACTAGCCAGCATCCATGGCTCTGTTGGATGGAGATCGACTGTCTTCACACGATCAGATCGTGCAGACAACTTCCGTTTGATATCTAATCTCAAAGGCTGAAATTTAAGAATAAATATAAACTTATTTGCAACATAAAAGATGAAAAGGTTAGTATGGTGTGATTATCTTATAAATAGCATACAGACACCATATATTATAATTTGTAGTGATTTATATACACAGGAAGAAGTGTGTATGGTACATCATTCAATTCAATACACATACTGTGAACCATTGTTGGGCAAGAGGTTTGATGAGACACTGTAAGAATTCAAAATGTAAGAGGCTTCAACTGGAAACATATTGTCAATCTTCAATGAGAAATAACTTGAATTCCAACTTTGACTATACAGGTTGGGATCCGCAAAAACCTAAAAAAGAACGTCAAAAAGTGCATGAAGGTAATAATGTAAACCCATATAACCTTATTTAACATTAGAAATTAAACTTGTTAACAAGACCAGTATTTACCCATCAATTGAAATTATGTTTTTCATTTTATTATCATGATCTAGACTAGATGCAAGTGACATCAAATCTGTCTTTCACAACTTAGTGACTCCTTTGTTGTGTTCTGCCTAATATGGTTAGTCTGTTATAGTTATACCTATAAAAGTATAATGTATGTACATTGATACTATTTAGGGTACAAATTTCAACACATTGTGTACTTTTGTTAATAAGTGACATTCAACAGGTAGATCTTCCATCTACTGTCAAATTATGCCACATTAGACACAACTGCATCGTTGAACTTAAAGAACAGACTGGGTCGCTTTCATAATTATCAATTTCAACTCACATAAAACAATATCCAACATCACTTTAGACAACAAAAATTTCACTATCACTTTGATCTCGTATCTTCCGGGTCCTCTACATATGACGTTTCTTTGAGATATTTTTTATTTTTTACTTCTTGGCAAAGTAACGTCAGATCTAATTGCTCATAAATGATAAAACAGACAGCATGTTCTGCAAGGCTTTCTTGCAGAAGGATAAAAACATTAGTCTGCATATAAATACACAAATTTGGACCTATTCAGGTACAGAGGTTTACAGACAACTCACCACCCAGACAATTCACCCTCAGCCAGTTTTTCCAGACAATTCACCCACCAGACAGTTCATCCCGCATTATTGGAAAAAAAGTTGTCTTGGTTTTTTGAGGGGTGAATCGTCTGGGGGGTGAGTTGTCTTGTTTCCGGTACAGAAGTAAAAAAGAAATTTATACCTTTCAACGAAAGAAACTGTCACATCCAAAAATTATGATTGATTACTTCCTTTTATCAGTGTTTATCTAATTAACTCTGTTTAAGTTATACAACCGATAAATAAATGGTTGTTACACACTGCGCAAAGTCTGATAAATAAGCTAACTGAAAGTTGTTAATGATCATTAAGCATAAAATTGAAGGAAAATTTGATAAACTTTTGAATAAAGCTTGAAAGGCAAGACAATAGACATTGTTTGAATTTAAATGATGCTTTGCGTTTATGAGCAGTAACTATTAGACATCGGGCCTAACTAACATTAACTATAACAAGGCCGAAATGTCTGACATATTATTTGGCCTTATTGCCTAGGATCTTCCAAAATGTCATGATTTCGTTTGCAAATTATGTGTAAAACATGGACAGTATCCGGCTGAATGAGACTTAGGGGGTATGTCATACACAAAATTCGCTTCAAATTAAGCATATTAATAATAAAATTTTAATGTTAAAAAGCTAAAATATGAACTTACCATGATTTGTACGATTTTTTGACAATATTTTTATCGTGCTGGACCAAAATACGTGGCCGCACCTTTGCGCATGAGCAACCGGAAGCCGGTGGATTTCGGTACGTTGAGTTACCAAAATTGTCTCAACTACCGAAATTAACCTCGGAATTTACCCAAACTCAACACAATATCGACTTTCAAGGTACATACAAGTATCCTAATGCAATGGAATTTGAAGATCTTATAAATGGTAAAAACAAATCTCATTTAAAAAAAAAAAACCGTGCTTTGTTTTTGTAAAGAAATAATTACAACATGCAAATAATAAGTATAATATTGTACATATCATTAGTCTAAAATTTTGATAATGAAGCATACATTTCGGTTATTATTAAGAATCTGCTCATATCTTTATTTCATTTTACGAGTACAATTTAATTGTCACTCATTCTCCTGTTTTATGTACATTTTTTTCTGTGTTCCAGTTGTTACATATTCACAATTTTGTATTTTATGTCTTCTAGCAAAGACAGTTGTTTATGTTATTTAGTTACTTTTTGTTTCTTTAGCTATTTATTATGCTATTTTTAGGTGTAAAAATTCTTGCAAAAATGTATCAGCTGGGATATCATTATAATTATAACCATTCTTTTTTTACACTAGCACATAGAAATTATATTAAATTAAACTGACCATGCTATCATATAATCCAGGTACATATATTAATATACGTACCTGATATAATCACATTTTTATTTTGTAAATGCATGAAGCATTTTTCTCTTCGATCTCTGTTCCCAAAATGAAAAGTAGAAAAAAGATCCATTTTGTTAGTTTCGCCCATTGTTTTCTCGTTTAGGGCACATGCTTTTTATTACTTCAGGAACATACGCCGCTTTCCATGGAACGGCACGGAAGTATATCACATTGAATCGTTCCATGATGATCGCCGTATGAACAAATCTGCGGATGTTTCTTAATTCAAATTTTTACTATTTCATGTTTAAATGTTGAATTCTGCTTAAGCCATTGCTAGGGGCGTGGACGGTAGTTTGCACTGGACAGTACCGTCCATTAACAGGCTAAATCACACTGAGCCTAGCTGCAACATTTTCAATTTTGCTGTTTTGGGATTTCTTTAGGGATTCTTATTTTCTCTATTTTATTGCCACATCAGCGTTGTTTGTGCCGTGTGGAGGCTGTAAAAAGCCGCCCCGTATATTCAATTAGAGATGTTGTATTTCCGAGCTTTAAAGATCGTTCAGCATGACATTATTGTTGTGTTTGTGGTATTTTAAGTTTTGGGCTTTCATTAGGGATTCTTATTTTCTCTACTCTATTTGAATGGTAAAACATAAAATTACAACTTTCAACTCACCAGAGCACAGTTTAGCCGCCGCATTGTTCCTGCATAGTAGCAGTTTACCAGATGTAGATGCCTTCACTTTCGCAAGGAAAATATTTGGTGGTCAGTCACAACGAAAGTGCCACTGTCCGGGAATCGAAACCAGGTTGGCGATTCACGGCCCAATGCTCTATTAATCGAACTAAACGGACTTTAAATGTTTATGCTGATATATAATGATGAACTAACTGTTCATTTATGTAACGTTATCACAGTATATAAACAAAATCACTGTACCCTGTCCTGTGAGCCTATATAATTCAATGTGTACCCCGTTAGCGAGTTAAGGGGCCTCCGTGGCCGAGTGGTTAAAGTCGTTGACTTGAGATCACAGGTCCCTCACCACTGTAGGTTCGATCCTCACTCGGGCCGAAATCTTTCATGTGAGGAAGCCATCCAGCTGGCTTACGGAAGGTCGGTGGTTCTACCCAGGTGCCCGCTCGTGCCTGAAATAATGCCCGAAGGGGCACCTGGGGTCTTCCTCCACCAATAAAGCTGGAAAAAAATCGACGAAAAATCTCGGCGGGACGCTCTAGGATGACCCGACTTGAGTGTACGGTCGCCCATATGGGTTTCCGGCGGCGACCTTAAATAAACGCATCAAAAAAAAAAAAAGTTAGCGAGTTAGCACATGCTACTTGAAATCACTGTACCTTACTTGGGAGCCTATATTTTTTAAGCTTGCGATAACAGGAAGTAGACCTGTTTAAATACTATTGTAATGTCACAATGGTTATAGTTCTGGCTTCCAAAACTTTATAAGCCTCTATTTAACATTGTCGTTTTTCATCTGATGCGGCATTAAATGTCATGTCATAGTATATAAACCTGTACGCCGAAGACCTTAAGCTACAATGGGTTATGCATTGGACCAGTAATCTAAAAAACAAGAATAAAGACCAACAAGGCAAAGGCAACGTTCACAGGACGGCTGAGGACGCAGCCCCCGACACACCCAAGTAGGGCACCTTAAAGGCACCAAACCGGACACAAGGGCGGCAAAAGGAGAGTGACACGTGCTGTGTGAAATAACAAAAACCAAAACGGGCCTATATGAGAATTAAAGGGATAAAGGCTGTAAAGGTGAAAAAAATAGTGTCGTTCGGCTAGCTTCTACAGTAACTCATGTAAGGCTAGAATGTTTGGCTAGCAATGTACCCATACGGCTGGCAACTGAAGCTTGGACATAACATGAACGGGACGGACAACTTCCACGTTTTCATCAGTCATAATGATATTATGTTGGTGTTCAATGTCGATCGATTTATGAGGGTAATGTTTTAAAGTCGTTATTATGGTAAAGACTGGACATAAACGGGCCAAACGTTTCGGTAGATCGGCAGAGAAATTTAAATGATAGACTTTAAGTGAATATACCATTGATTTAAAAATAAGATTAATAAAACATATATGATTAGATAGAAAAGATATGAGAGCAAAAATCAACAAGGCAAGGTGACGTTAAAATTTACAGAACGCAGCCCAATGACAGAAACACTAAGTGTTTTGATTAAAAGTTTTCGCAAACTCTGTTGATAGAAAATGGGTGCAGAGCTAGTACATGTAAATTACGTCAAGTAAAAGTTATCTGCCGTATGAACACATCTACGGATGTTTCTAAATTCAAATTTTAACCATTTTTGTGTTTGAATGTTGAATTCTGCTTAAGCCGGTGCTAGGGGGCGTGGACGGTAACTTGCACTTTCCAGTACCGTCCATGAACAGGCTCAAACCGAGCCTGCAACATTTAACAATTTGTCCGTGTTGGGCTTTCGTTAGGGATTCTGTTTTTCTCTATTTCATTGTCACATTCGTGTTATTTGTACCGTGTAAAAAGTCTCCCGTACATTTAATCAATGGTGTTATATTTTCGATCCTCGAAGATCGTTCAGCACGACTTTATTGTTGTGTATACATTTTAGAAGGTATTTTTAGTTTCTTGTATTTGGCCTTTTTCAACTTGGGTGGTTCCCAATTTTTCCGCGTTGGGCTTTCTTTAGGGATTCTTATTTCACTTTTATCGCCACATTATCGTTGTTTGTGCCGTGTGGAGGCTGTAAAAAGTCGCCCCGTACATTCAATCAGGGATGTTATATTTCCGATCCTAAAAGATCGTTTAGCACGACATTATATTGTTGTGTTTGTGGTATTTTAGTTCTATCTATTCGGCATTTTTCTTGTTGGGTGGTTCCAGTATTCCTCACTTGAATACTGTTGAATCACCCTTAGGTTATGAGGCCTGCTTTTTAAATTTGACGTTATTTCTGTGATATGCAGGCTTCATAACCTCAGATCTACTTTCAAAATTCAATTTTATTTAGAATATGTAAGATAAAGTTTATTATTTATCAATTGAGCTACTTAAGTATATTCGTTATTTATTTTCGTCTCATACATACATTTTTACATACAAAAAACATGCATACAACCATTCTTTCAAAAGACATTATATCAATGAGAAACATATTCAATATCTATAAATTTAAACAAGAATCAAATATTACAATACAGAAGATTTAAAGGTAGGTAATCATCCCTAATCGTTAATCGAAAATTAAAAACTGCCCTTTAAAGAAGATAATGTAAGAAACTGAAAACTGTAAATCGGAGCCCTAATGCGTGTATAAAAACATTTCCGATTTTCATCATAGATCAGATTCTAAACCTAGGTAAAAATATATTATCATGTTTAAAACAAGTACACTGGCATTATTTACAAAGAAATGAAAGACGACGTTGTAGAATATTAAAACATGTTTTGGCACAATAACGTATCATTTCAGTTCTATTGAAAATGAATATCAATTGTTCATTTATAGACATTCTTACAAAAGCATTATCTATAGTTTAAGCTTTTTCAAAGAAAGATTGTCGCAAGTCATCGTACATATAGCAATCAAGAATGACATGGCTTTTGTCTTCAATACTGTCACAGAGCGGGCATTTTCGTTCCACTACATGTAAGCGATCGTAACGCCCAGTTTCTATGCGTAAAGCGCGACAAAACAATGAAACTTGCTAAATGCAGTGCGATGACATAGAGGCATAATAAGTGTACAATACAATTTTGTCTCATATTTTGTTTTAAACAGCTGATATGTACGCAACATATTTCCATCAGGACCAGAAAACCTATGACACTATTTAAAGATTCGAGCCAGTTAAAAACTATTTTTTCTTGAAATTTAGATGTAACAATATTCACAACCGAATGTTTTGGAATGGAAATACTCACTATATTGGTGTGAATTACAATTCGTTAACATACTATTAACATAGAAAAACCAGTTCTTACAGGACCTATTTGCTGCAGATGCAGTATAAAGTGTAACTCGATTCTTTACTGTAGCATCAAACATATTAGACATTCTAGCTAAATGAATAGATATGGATTTCCATTGCCAGATTTCGGGGGGGGGGGGGTATACATCCCATTTCACCCGAAACGGCGACATTTGGCGTTTATCTACTGACACCTGTAAAGGAGCGTATGGCGCGATACTGCACTGCGTTAATTCACGAGTAAGAACGATAACCCCAGATAGCAGAACCATAACTGATTATTGGCAAAACCCTAGAATCATATACATATAGGTGGGTAAATACATTGTACGGAAAAACACCAGCCGATTTACATTTAGCAATAAGAAGGCCAATAACCCAACTTGCATTTTGGGCTACAGCCTTTGCAGTGAC